AAGCTGATCCTCATGTATGACACAGTCCTGGGGATGCTTTTCCCAGAGGGGTGCTGGGAAGGGCAGGATGAGGAGGTCGGGGTGAGCTGACGTGTGAGCAGTGGTGGGAGGGGGATGGAGGTTTGTGCCTCCCCCAGGGAAGAGCTGCAGCCCCACAAGGCCGAGGTGCAGGAGGAGTGAAATCCCTGCCCTGGGCTCCTCACCACCAACTCCTTCTCCCCACACAGGAGGAGCTCTCCAATGTCAACCTCTCCAAGTTCCGCAAGATCCAGCACGAGCTGGAGGAAGCCGAGGAACGGGCTGACATTGCAGAGTCCCAGGTCAACAAGCTCCGAGCCAAGAGTCGAGAGTTTCATGGGAAGAAAATTGGAGAAGAAGAGTGAGGATGCCATGAAGAGGCAAAGTGATCTGAGGGCTGCACAAAATGTGAACCCTCTGTCACTTCCTTCTGCAAGAAATGTTTATCACCGTGTCTGTATGTAGAGAATAAAGAGTATAGATTCCTTCACATACACAGCAGAATCGGTGCTTTTGGTTGCTTCAGTTCAATTCTCCAGTTACATAAGTTTGGGGGATTTTCAAATTAAATATTTTGTTTCATTTTAACCCTTGGGTAGCAGTAGAGCTTTACTTATCCCATCTCCTGTATTTCTCCACTGTGTCTTTATACATTACCAAGGAGGGAATAAGACTAATTTAATTTCCATACTGGGGGAGGATCGAGACAAAGGCAGGACAAGTACTTTTTCTGTCTTGGCACAGCAAAAATGTTTTTGCCTCTTTCTGGCTGCAGTACTCAGAGGTTCTCATTGCCGGTCGCATTATCACTTGGGCAAGTGGTATTCAGAGGTAAGTTGCCCCATAAGAAAAACATTTGTAGCCCCAGAAATACCTGGATGTCTCTGAGTCCTTATGCAAGGACTGAGATGCTGCCCCTTTAAACAAGGCAGGTAAAGGCCAGGAGCTCTAGAGAGTGGTTTGTTTCTGAGCAAATTTAAAGGTCAGGCAGCCTTATTAATATTTTCATGCAGAAGTTGTTAACAATCAATTCCAAAGCATAACTAATAATGTATTATTTGGGTAAGAGGCCATTGCAGTTTCTTACTTTCTCTGTTAGAATAGGCAATACTAATGGAGAAGGTTCCTGTTGTAAATGAAATTGAGATTATTTAAGAGCTTGGTAGAAGTGGGAACATTGGGATAAACCCCAAACAATGTAACATATAGAGCCACCAGAACGAGCTGGGAACTGCTTCAGTGTGGTATAGCATTTTGCAGTACTGAAATATATAAACTTTTGTGCTAAGGAACAATTAGGAGTTATGTATAGACATGAGCATTGAGGCCATGCTGCTGAGAACACAGCTGTGCTGGGCAGGGCACGTCTCCAGGATGCAGGACCACTGCCTCCCTAAGATTGTGCTCTGTGGAGAACTTGCCACTGGCTGCAGTGAGAGAGGAGCCCCAAAGAGGAGACACAAGGACTGCCTGAAACAATCCCTCAGCCTTGGCCATATTGATCAGCACCATTGGTCTACTCTGACCTCCAGTTGGGTGACCTGGACACACACCATCTATAACGCTGCTGCTGCTTCTGAGAACACACACAGGATCACTCTGGAGGAGAAAAGACAACGCAGAAAGAATCGCGTCTTGTCGATATCACCTGGGGAGTCTTTCTGCTGTACGTTCTGCAACCGGACTTGTCTATCTGGCATTGGCCTTTTTAGCCATCAGCGCGCTTGTAGCAAGCGTGGGTAGAGCCCCTCTCAAATCTTCGTTCGTGAAACCTAGCCATGATGAGACATAAAAAGCTGAAGGAACTGTTTTTGATCATGCAAGTGGGAATAATACTGAGAACATTATGACTTTAAAGATACCACAAAATGTAACACCTAACAGAGGAAAAAACCCATAGATAATAATGCCAAACTATGTCCTACCTGTCTGACTCCTGCAGCAGTGGTAAGTGGGATGTAGACACTGACTACATTGAGGCTGGACAGAGAAGAAACAAGTCATCTACACAATGTGTGCTGCTCTGAAGTCTTAAACAAGAGGCTGTTTCCTGCAGAGTAAAAAGCAGGACTTAAAACAGGGAACAGCCGCTGAGGCAGCACTGGACCCAGGTACATCAGAGAGCTGCCAAGGGCAGGTCCTACACACAGATACCATTTCCCATTGCACCATTGTACAGAGACTTGGTTCTCTCACACTACAGGGACACTTATGAGTCCCTCGAGATGCCTTGACAGCTCTACACTGCTGCATTTCCAGGGAATACTTCAAGGAGATGTGAAACTGCTGGGGAATGGAGCTGGAGCTGTGGAGGGGAGGTGGGAAGGAGAGAGCAGAAAGGAAGCCTTTTGCACTGACCACAGTGTTTTTGCAGCAACAGCATTCAGGACTGGGAGGTCGTCATCCTCCTAAACACACTGAGGTTTGCACACAAGGAATCCTCCTATGTTATAGCTAAATATGGAAGCAGTTTGCTAGGCAGCAATTAAATATATTTGGGAAAAGATGACGCCCTGTGTTGACTCCTGTGTCACTGTAAGTGATGCTCCTCAGAAACAGCATCTCTATGTGTGAAGCTGTGAAAACTGTATCTGTGACACTGAGATCTGGGCACCAAGGAAGGGAAATCACTGCTCTCCTTTTCCCTTCTCACAATATGGTCCCAAGAAATAAGTGTGATTCTTTCTTTCCAGACAAATCTTTCGTTTCCACACCTTGAAAGTAGGTAAGAAGATTTTGTTTGTTCTAAAGCACATATTTATTTAAACAAACAAACCAACCAACAATCACAAAAGTTTAATTCAAAAGTCAGTGTATAGCAACTGTGGCTCAGTAAAAACATGGGAAAGCATTTCTAGCTCCATCATTACCCTTTTAAACCTGCTGACTGACTAGCAAACATCACAACAACTTTGGGAATCGTAAGTGGATGCCAAAAATCCCTGCTCCCTTTGGACAATATTGTAGTGACCCTCCAAAATGAACAGCCTGGTCTGACTGTGGAAAAATCATGATACACTTGGAGCACTTGAAACTGTTGGAGCTCATCTCTCATCTGATGGCCTGAGGATTTGTTCCCAAATGCTCAATGATGAAAGGTAACATTGCAGGTTCCTTAAATGACAGCACCGTGGGCCAATTCTCTACTTCAAACTGCATGAGTGGGAAACGCTTAGAAGTCCCACACACTGCACTGGGCTGACCTGGCCTTGCCACCAGCCATCCTGGAAAGCTTGGCTAAGCACTTTTTGGAATCAGAGTGGAATATAAAGGGAGGGTTAAGGAAAAGCAGTTTCTCCTCACTTTGTGATTTGCTGCCTTATCTGGAGAGCAGGAGTCATTTTGCATCAACACACTATTTCTGGAGTCAGGCTGCTTGTGACCTGAAATGTGCTGATGCACAGGTAACTGATCTTGGGAAAAACATGGGCCCATTGCAGGCATAAAGGACCATCTCTAAGAGAAGGTTTAAAATAGATGCAGCTGATGAGCTCCACTAAAGCTGCTGCCTCGTGTGGACTGTGGAGTTCTCTGACCATAAACAGCTTGGCCCTGAAAGATAGGAGGCACTGAAACGTGGAGAAAGTGTTTCCGACCTTAAGAAAGAAGTTCCTTACAATAATCAAGAATATTCTGAGTTGGGAGGGACCCAAGGATCATCAAGTCCAACTCTTAAATGAATGGCCTGTACAGGGATCAAACCCACAACTGGGGGTTAACCATCATCATGCTCTGACCAGCTGAGCTGATAATGCCACATCCAGCTTTCCAGTTCTCCAAGTACTCACCATGCCCTCAGGCCACACCAACAGTGCCTTGACCACAAAGGGCTTTCCTCCCAATGACAGAAAACTAGGGGACCAGAGAGCAAAAGAGAGAAAGGAACAGAGACACAAACGAGGGAGAGAGAGGAGAGAAGAGGATGAGGGGGGTCAGGAGCAAGTGAGAGAAAGAAACTGAGAAAGAGAATGAAATGCCGAAAAAGAGGGGAAGGGAGGAAGAGATGAAGAAAGATTAAAATGAAAGCAAGACTAAAAAGAAAGAAATTGAGGTGGGGAGCAAGGAACTTGATGAAGGAGAGGAGAGGAAGAGACAGAAACTGGAGATGGAAGGAAGGAAAAAATAAAAAGAGAAAGGAACAGAGCAATTAATTTAACATCATTGGACTGTTGGTACCTGACCCTGGACTTCAACTCTGTTGCTTCTGATCATCTGAGAAGGTGTTTGCAAGTTACAACATCATTCCTCTTCAAGTGCCTGGGTCACAGTGTGAGTAGCTGCTGTTCCCAGGGCTGAACAGTGGCTGCATTGGCCAGAGGTGTGATAAGAAGAACAAAGGGATGCAGGGTACTCACTTGGGAGAGACTGTAGCAGCTGTACCTACACTCTGCAGAAGGGGAATCCTCCCTGCTCTTGTGAACCCACTGTCCACCCACCCATTTCACACCCATTGCCCTACAG